TGTTGAATATGAAAACCCTGATTGGTTCAGCTATGTCACATGTTAAATATGAAAACCCTGATTGGTTGAGCTATGTCACATGTTAAATATTTGAAAACCCTGATTGGTTGAGCTATGTAAGTTCACGTGAACTGTACTGTATGTCTTATATTAGTAAATACCACAAAGACTAAGTTAAAATTATTTTTTTATGAAAAGGCAAAGTCAGCTGATAGTCAGCTTGGAAGTTATGTTACACCAGGACTGTACATTTATGCGAGTTCATTTGGTCACACAAAGGTTATTTTGGCATGGAATTACATGGGTTGGAAACTAGGACAAAGCTCTTCAACCGATCTTTAGTAAATTGAATGATGATGTCACTTTGGTACATTGTAGGTAAAACAACCTTGCAGATTTGTTTTCAAGGAAAAGAATGAAATGAAATAGGAATAAAGGTAGTCCCAAGCAAAAAAGCTGGTATTCTATTCAAAGTAGGTGGTTGTTTTGCTCGGCTGCTCATTCTCACATCACTGGGTACAGACAACGTTAAGGAAGTATGAGAAAAATTATGTAGAATCGTCTTCATTTTTCACAATTTACTCACTTAAATACGTTTTGATTAATACACGCGTGTCGTCACTGCTCTATTAGAAGCACAAACAAAGACATTATTACGAGAATACCGCAAAGTATCCACAAAGGCAGTGCAGTGATCATATTGACCGGCGCATAGCTGAGATCGTTGCATTCCCGAACTGCCTGTGAGCATACTTTGCGGTCTTCTCATGCAGTGTTCTCACCATTGCGCCATTTGCGCAATATTTCAAAATTTGGCGCAAAATTTCAATTAAATCGGGCCACATTTCGCACAGAAAAAAAATTGCGTCCAAACGGCTTTCCCATTTTGACCGTATGGTGGCGCTATCAATGTAGTAATTTATTCCCTAGAGGGGTCCCACAATTGAGTAACGTCTTGCAATATACGCAACTCATTTCAAGCCCCATGGAATGGGCGCCATGAGCAAGCCAAAACGCCACAGACTTTATTGAATTTTGGAATATGCCGAAACCCTGATTCGGTACATGATGCTCAAAGTATCAGCGATGGACTGAAAACCCTGGCGACAAAATCATGCAAAATGCCGATGGTATTGAGTCTGGTAGTGTAGCGGTGACTGTGGGGAGTGTCACTAATAATGGAGCCAAGGAATATCAACGATTTCAGCGAAGTCATCCATGGCTGAAATACTTGGATGATGACAATTTGACGTACTGAAGTTGGTGTGTATTTTCAAAAAAATGATACTGCTATGAAACACGGGGAAGTAATAATTTCAAAACTAATAGTAATGGAATAAACATGTGTTAAACTAATGTGTATGATGGCTTTATGATTATTTATAAATGTTAACTCAATAAGGGCTGCAATTTTACCTTGATCCAATTTTATTTACCCATTAATGGTTACACCATGGAAATTTGCATCCTTTGACAGGTAGGTGGACATTTCCCTAAACCAATTTACCCCCGGCCCTATTTTATAATTTATGGCCCTGCATTTTTCAAACGATGGGTCTTTATGGCCCCACAAAAACAGAATCTGGTGAGAACACTGCTCATGATAACCTTATTATTATATATCTATTTTCCCTGCGCTTGTAGTAATAACTTAATGAGAGATAACATCCCAAAATGACAGCGAAGAAAGTTTTGTGAGATTGTTTTTGCTTAGTGACGCTGATAGTGCTTCCACATCTGGGGTGGCGCACAGTTTTCAAATAACAAAGAAATTTTTTAACACATCATAATAATTTCGAACACTTTCGAAAAGCGTTTTACAGACCAGTAATTTATATTATTTTTGATGCCAGAAGGATTTATTTTTACTGTAAGAAAGACCTCTGTAAGTGCTGCCTCATAGAGCAAATATAGTTTCTGCATTTTTCCCTTGCTATTGTAAATAAATTAGACAAAGAGTTGAAAGTGATAACCAATAACCGATATACTCTAAGTACCTGCATCAGCTGCTGGCTAAATATACTGTCTACTCAGCTTGTTTAGTCGGCTACTTTGTGTTTTTAATACTCGCAACCTATAGAAACGTGTCACATTTTGACTTTTCGCTTCTAAATATAGCTGTCTACTCAAGAACTTTGCGAAAACCTTCCGGTACCGTATGTTAAAAAAACAAAAAAAACATTATTGCATTACACAGACAAAATGAAAGCATTCATTCAAACGTAAATCTGTGCATCAAATGAGGTGCATTTGTAAAGTCTTTTTACACCCATCCGACAACCAACTGCTATGCAATACTACTGTCCGATTATCAATTTGTATTTAATGATGAATGTAGTCTGATGCCATGATCAATAATTATCAATTAAGTTTCAGTGGGGGGTAGGGGGGTTTGGAAAAAAACTAAAGAATCTTTTGTAGTCGTCCCTTAGCTGTATGAGTCGACTGATTTATGAGTTGCGTACAAAGGCCTGGTGTTATGTGTTAAGTAGACTGTAGGATTACATCCTAACACATTTTCAGTTACATTACCGGTATTCATCAATCTAAAAGCTACTGTAAAATACTTTATTTTAGCTGGAATTAATTTTCGCTGTAAATACTTTCTGGGTGTTTTGTGTGTAATTTATTTTCAATGATTTTTGACAAGTTGAATGTATTTTCACTGAATCATTATTCAACGAAAATAGCGAAAATTAATTGCAAGCGAAAATATAGCATTTCACAGTATGATGTATGATTAATTATTACACGTAGTTCGGGTTATTGGACTCGTGACGTTTTGGATCTTTTTACTCATATCTGTTCGTTTTGTGGCCTGTCTCGTGCCTAGTCGTGCACAAGGTCAATTCCGCTCTTTATTCTGGACTGAATTTTCTGAGTTAATAAACTTTTCTTCCCCAGACTTTCTCATTCAAATTTTTCTGCACTTTTTTCTTGTATTATTCAATATTTCTGGAAATGAACACTAATTTTGGAGCCAACCGAAAAAATTTGAGTAAATTTTCAGTTTTTACTAGAAAAATGTGTCTATTTTTGTCTCGTTCTTCTGAAGGAGTGTGCAGACTATAACAAACTGGACTACTTTGTGAATTTGTGATGAAAAGAGGGAACTGGTGGTGAAAAAGTTTAAGTTATTAATCACAGGTTTATTATCAGCCAACACCCTTGCCAGCTTGGGAATGGCTCAGCCAAGTGTTTTTAACAAATTATTCTGATCTTCCTACTTTCTGGTGTGTTTTGCTATCACAGACTTCATACTCAAACCATTTTACTCTAGTACATGTATATGTATAATATCCAATCCAGAGTGACCTGTCTAAATATGTCTTGTATTACTAGTATAGGTAAATAGAGGGAGGGGGGGGGGGCAAGGAGGGACAGCTGGTACAGGTTACAGGAAATAAAAAATGCATTTTACATTTTTACAGGAATTAAAATGGAAAGTTCCATTTACAGTAAAAAATAGTTTTTTTAACATTTTACAGATAAAACAAATTTCTAATTACATTTTCATAATAAATTGTGTTTAAGAATCAAAATTAGAAATTGTGTACGAATTACGACATTTAATTTGAAAATGGTTTATATGCTTACAAAAAATAAGATCTTTGTACGAATTATGGACGAATAAAATAGCTGATTACTGTACATTTTACACCTTGATCTGTCTACGAATTTACGTTTTTTATTTATTTAAATTACATTATTACGAAAATAAAAACAATTGATTACAGCTTATGAAAATACCCTTTGCCGACCTTCCAAATACTACAAAAAATAAGATGAAATAAGTTGAGTTGAAATATTACTTGTTTTAAAAATGATAAGTTATTATGAAAAAGCAAAGCCAGCTCACAGCGAGTTTCAAAAAAAAAGTTAAGTAGAGACTAAAATGTAAGTCAGTCAATACACTTGGAAAGCAACAGGACAGAGACCTTTTGTGGGCTATCAAAAGTATCACATTACATAGAGTTACTTGCAATGAAGGGCACACACAGAGAGTTTACATGTATAATTCATTTAGGAATCAACCATATGGAATCCTGGGTGGGGGTGGGGGGTTCTGAAAAATTTGTTAAAAAAAAAAAAAGGAAAAAATACAAGATAGACACTGCGTAAAAGAAAAAATTGCATGCATTTTATGTGACGTGTATGGTTACTTTCTGAAACAAAATTTCGGTGAAGTTTCATCATCTGTATGTGCTTTCGCAGACCAACGTGTACAAACTGAGACATTACCAAGCTTTAATTAGGTTTTTTAGGTGATTGGAAGGTATCGAAGGAGTCACCGGTGGTAATTAGTACAAGTCGCGCCCAGGTCAAACTTCATACTTGCGATTTCCTTAGAAGAGCGCATTGAGTTTGTGGGATTGAGTTTGTGCCGCCCTTTAAACAAAAAATGGTCAGAATCACAGCCGTTGTCGCTGAATATATACGCTAGCGATTACACTCATCTGGTTGGGCTTTTGATGTATAAATGTTGTTTTTGATCGAAACGTGCAGTG